TTTCTTTCTTTCTTTCTTTCTTTCTTTCTTTCTTTCTTTCTTTCTTTCTTCCTCTCTTTTCCTTCCTTTCCTTCATTTTTCTCCATTCTCCTTCCTTTGTTTTTTCCATTCTCCTTCCTTCCATCCTTCCTTCCTTCCTTCCTTCCTTCCTTCCTTCCTTCCTTCCTTCCTCCCCTCTCCTTCCCTCAAGCAAAGCTGTGCATGCCATACCACAGTTGTGCTTGTCCCCTCACTGTGGCTTGAAAAAGGATTTTCTCGCCTGGAGCTTCAAGGAGGAGCCTTTCTATATGGACCAAAACCTGTTTCACAACATTCTCTCAACGGGGCTCAACCCTAAAGTTGGCCATTGCCTGCACTCATAATCTAGAAAGCCACAAGATTGACTCCGAATATGTGCAGGAAGCATTTTTCCCTTTGTTGATTAGACCAAATTAATTGGCAGGGTGAGGATTCTAAAGCGGACTCCGGCTTGAAAGTTAGGCTTTTTCAAAGATGACTCCTGCCTTCTCCGATTCTTTAAATTTAAACATTCTATCCTCTCCTGAGCAAACTGGGGAGCTTTTTGCCCAAAGATTGCTTCCTCTAGAGCAGGGGTCCCCAAACTTGGCAACTTTAAGACTTAGCATTGCTGGCTGGGGAATTCTGGGAGTTGAAGTCCACAGGTCTTAAAGTTGCCAAATTTGAAGGCCTCTGCTCTCCAGGGAAACCCTTTTGTTGGTTCTGCTTCTCCCTGCCCTCCCTTGTGTGTTCCTTCCCTCCCTGTCTATGTGCTCAGAATCCCTGAAAACAAGCCAGTCTCACCACAGTCTCAATTCATCTGCTGTTCTGTGGGCATTATTGTCCTGTGTTGCCTTTTAAGTTTCTCGAGTTTCTCTATCGAAATCCTTTATTGTTGTTTTTTGCATTGCTCCTAAAAGCTCCAGGGATTGAAAACATCCTGTTCTCATGTACACAAAAACCTCCTTTTTCTCCCCTTCCTTCTAATTAATTTCACTGATTAATTTCCTATAAAGGTATGTACTTAAGAACTGCATTTAGCTATTTCCCTCTCTGTCTGTAAAGCACAAACACACAAAAGACTATCCTTTTTTCCTGAAAATAAGACCCAAACAGAAAATAGACCCTAGCATGGTTTATACAATACAATAGCAGAGTTGGAAGGGACCTTGGAAGTCTTCTAGTCCAGCCCCCTGCCTAGGCAGGAAACCCTNTCTATCTATCTATCTATCTATCTATCTATCTATCTATCTATCTATCTATCTATCTATCTATCTATCTATCTATCTATCTATCTATCTATTTCCAGCTCTCTCTGGGACTCCCAGGATGGGTGACAAAGCAATTCTGGCTGGCTGGAGAATTCTGGGAGTTGAAGTTCACAAATCCTAAAGTTGCCAAGTCTGGAGACCCTGTTCTTGATCCTTGCATTTAGCCAAGCCTGGATTGGTAGACTCTTTTTTCCCAGAGTTCAACTGAACAACTCGGAGCCACAATTGCAAAGCGCAAGAGCTTTTAACAGTTGAATCTTATTGTAATGGGGACAGATGTTACAATAAGTGTTCACATGTTCTTAAGCTAAAAATATTTCAAAGTGAACAGTTTGGGGCCATATGGCTCATTTAATTGTCAGTAAATCACAATCATTTTCAAAATGGGATTCGTGTCAAATGCCTTTTCCTTAACTGAAGTAGGATGATGCTTAGAATTTAGTTGGATGTTACCAATGTGTTTGCTTGTTTGGTTTTTCCAGTTGGGAAGACTTCCTTGATCACCAGATTCATGTATGACAGCTTTGACAACACCTACCAGGTAAGATTTTGTTGTTGTTGTTTTATGACTTCCAAACTTTAACTTAAAGGATTCAGAACTTTGCTGAAATATTCCAGCTTAATAGAGATTTCCTTCTGTTTTTAATCTCATGCTGTAGAAAAGTGATGGAGAAAGATGTTTCTCAAGATTGTTCAATAGTAGAATAAAAATAATAGAAGGTCAGGACTCTGTTACTAACACATAGAAATCAGAAATGTTTCTGGTTTTGTTATCAGTATGTCTGTTTCAATGAAAGACTATACTAGCTGTGTATGCTGTAGAAAATATTGGAAACTTTCTTGTCTTTCCATGTTTCATATCCTATACAGCTATTCCTTATGTGCTTCTGTACGTCTGGCTACTGTTAGCTCTACATAAGTTGCTAGATGCCTTAATAAGTAAGGAGAAGGGCTTATGTAAACTAAAAGGTGCAGATCTTTTTTTCTGCATATGTAGTGAATGTAACCCACTTGCCAGATGACACTTTCACACTTACATTCAGCTCAAATTACAGGAGGTAATTGCCCCCTGCTCAAGCAGAAGAGCGTACACCAGTGATGGCTAACATTTTTTGGATTGCGTGCCCACACCAATAATGCTATGTGCATGACACCAGCACGCCTGTGTGCCCCCCCATATGCACATATGTGCGTGACCAGTGCTCCTCCTTGCTTTTTGCATTCTTTTTTCGTCCTCCCCAGGCTCCAGAGGCTTTCTAGGAGTTTGGAGAGGGTGAAAACAGCATCCCCCGCCCTCCCGGAGGCCCTCCAGAAGCTTCAGGAGCTTCCCTGAAGCCTCCGGAGTGCGAAAAACTGACCCTACGGGCAAACTGGAAGTTTGGAAACTGACTTCTGGTTTGCTCATAGGGCCGTTTTTGCCCCCTGGAGGGCGAAAAACGGCCTTAAAAGAAAGCCAAAGTCAGCTGGCCAGCGCACACATGCGCAATGGAGCTGACAGTGCAATGCCTCGCATGTCCTGACATATGGCTCCTCGTGGTTTGTCATCCTGGGCCTACACCATTCCAGACGAGTGGCTGTCCAGTCTCTTAGAAGCCTCCAGTGATGGAGCACCCACAACTTCTGGAGGCAACTTCTGTTCCACTGGTTAATTGTCCTCACGGTCAGGAAATTTCTCCTTAATTCTAGGTTGCTTCTCTCCTTGATGAGTTTCCATCTTTTGCTTCTTGTCCTTCTCAACTCCCTTCTCTGCCAAATGTAGAAAACATGAGGTCTTTTGAAAAGAAAGGGTAGAAGTCTCTGGAAGAGAGGTTGGATAGAGAGGGGATCGTCCACCATTCTCAATACAGTGGGACCTCGGGTCCCGAATGGCTCAGATGACGAACGATTCAGGTGCCGACCGAAAAATCTGCCAAATGTTTCACTCACGTCACGAACACATCCTTGGGTGCCGAATAAACACAGCTGCGGCAATTTCCCCTGCCACACCATTTTTGTGTATGCGTGCATGCACAGTTCGTCTTGATTCTGGTCACGACCAAATCGGGTGCAGATCAAAATCCTGGAATGGATTACGATTGGCACCCAAGGTCCCACTGTACCTTTGTGATGGAATATAGGCTTGGAGAATAAGGGAGGGGGCACGACTTTTTACAACTCCGAGCTTTCCCAGAGAGAGGCCCAGATTAAGAGTCTGCCCAACCTCGAGTTGGATGGGATGGGAGGGAAGACGTTCAGGGTAGCCAGACCCTAGAAACTCTCAGGATAGATCGAGTAGGTTAGAAGGCTGTAGCTTTAATGTGGCAAGATTCTGTCTCTTAGGGATAAGCAAGTAAAGGATTGGATTCGATTGGATTTCACTCTGGGCTTGACAAGCATTGATGTGAGGTTTGAAACCTCAAAGCAGCGGGAAAAGTCCAAGAAGTAGAAGCAGAAGATGATTTACTTCAAATATGTATTGCCAGAAATTTGCGCTAGACATATTTTTCATTTGGTTTCTCAGTGTTCCATGAAGTCTCATGTTCTCTGTATAAGTTAATGGAACTGAGTTTTTAATTTTGGCCTCCATCCATATTTTGGAATAAAAGCAAGAAGGTGCCACTTTTTCTTTAGAATCTTATTATCTGTAATTTTGAAAACTATCTTGTGGTTTATAATATTTTGTAGAGAAGAACAGCACCATCCTGCCATTCTGAAGCAGTGTTATTTTATCTTGGGGTTTTTTTTCCTTTTTCTTTTTAATTAGAACTAATTTGTTAGCTGCTGAAGGGGTGATTTTAAAAGCTCTATAATTATCTCCTTCTACACTGAATGCCTGCATTCTTTGTATTTCAGCTAAACATATTATTAATGCATTATCTTAACAACGTTTGGTTTAATTTTATCACAAGTAAGAATTGGCAATATAAACATTATTTCACCTGGAAGACTGACTAAGCAAATTCTAAGACTAAGACTAATCAGACCAAGCAAATTCCTTTCAAACAAAATGCTCATTTCATTTGTTGTATTTTCTGTGTTCTGAAAGCTGAGAAAGGTTGCCTAAAAAGAAGCATAGGTCAAACAACTAATTCTTTTCATTTATTTCAATTAAAAGTCCCAGCCCTGATCAGTTAACCCCAGCTCTGAAACCTATGCATGAGTACTTTGCTTTCTCCTTTGAGGATTCTCATACTTTAGTTTTGGCATTCTTCAAGAGAAGAGTTTTTCAGAACTATAAATGCTTTTCCAAGATACTTATTCCAGTTGATGCACTAAGGCAGGGGTGTCAAACTCAAGGCCCGGGGCCCAGAAGCGGCATGCGGGTTGCTTAGCTCTGGAAACAGCGAAGGATCTTCCCACGCTGCTCTGCCGATGCTCCCAAGCTCCGTTTTTGCTGGCAAAGGGTTGCAAGAGGCTGTCGCAGCCGAAAATGGAGTCCGGATGGCCGCGGGCAGCCCTCCGAGCTCCATTTTAGCTGGCGGAGAGTTGCAGCAGGCCGTCCCAGCTGAAAACTGAGCTCGGGAGCCCGTTTTCACTGGCAGAGCGCTCGGGCCACCACAGGCGCCTCCCGACACGAGTGACAGCGAGTGGCCATACCCACCCCGGCCATGCGCACCCCACATGTTCAAACAAAGCCCTGCTGTGGCCCTCAAATGAAACAGAGTTTGACATCCCTGCACTAAGGTGATCTTGGTGATTCCTAAAACATGTGGAACTCAAGCTATTTAGACATTTAGAAGTAGGACAATGCAAAATTCATTGATACGGACACAGAACATTCTGGAGGACACCAGAACGCTTTATTTTCCTCAAGACCTTGGTAAACCTCTTGGACTGTGCCGTTATAAAGCTGGGTGAGTAGCTTTTGGAGAAGCATTTTGGGGGTCGCTGCCTCTAAAGCAAACCTATTCTGTTATTCTGTTCAACAATATAGCCACGTTTGGGATCATTCGCAGCATCTTGTGGCCACGTGACCCCATTTTATCTTGATTTTACCGAAAATTCTGGAAAGAGTGCAGAGAAGAACAACAAAGATCATTAGGGACTAGAGGCTAAATCTTACAAAGAACAGTTGCAAAAATTGGGTCTGGCTAGTTTAGTGAAAAGAAAGATTAGTAATGACAGGACAGCTGTCTTCCAGTATTTGAGGGGCTGCCCCAAAGAAGAAGGGGGTCAAATTATTCTCCAAAGCCCCTGAAGGCAGGACAAGAAGCAACGGATGGAAACTAATCAAGGAGAGAAGCAACCTAGAACTGAGGAGAAACTTCCTGACAGTGAGGACAATTAATCAATGAAACTGCTTGCCGCCAGAAGTTGTGGGTGCTTCAACCCTGGAGGTTTGTAAGAAAAGATTGAACAAGCATTGTATGAAATGCAGGAAACAGGGTTTCCTGCTTGAGCAGGGAGTTGGACTAGAAGATCTCCAAGGTCCCTTCCAACTCTGTTATTCTGTAGTTCTCTTAAGCACCCCGTTCCTTCCTCTGTTTTTTTTAAAATAATTTTAAACAGGTTTTTTTTAAAAAAGACATATACATACATATACATATATATATATACATATATATACATATATACATATATATATACACATACATACACATACATACATACACATATATACATACACACACACACACACACACACACACACACATATATATATATATATATATATAAAAAAATTTCCTTCTGTACAACATTTCCATCTCGGTATATACATCCATTGTAAATACACTTCTCTCCCCTCCCCTTATTTCGGATTCTCTTTGTCCATACATACGATACTATT